TTCAAATTAAAATTAAATTTCATATTTTAATTTCATACCAAATTTTATTACTATAATTATTGTATATTCATATATTATAATTATAAATCGGGATAAAATTAAGGGAATAAGAGTTATGGTTGCTTTTTAAATAATCTACCAATCTCTTAAAATTAAACACTATCTACAGATTTACATCGAAGCGTTTCTAATGATAGTGATTTTAATCACTGTCAGATATCATCTATACTTGTCCCATCTATGCCTCGTCCACACTGTGCCGCGACCCCACTGTGCTACCCTTTTTTTTTAATAGATGCATAATGTTCTTACCTATCACTTGATATATTTTTTTTATAAATTAGACCCTTTACCTGCCCACAGGGGGGGATTCAAAATGACAACTTTTTCAACTTAACTTTTTAAAGTGTTAAAATTCTCGATCATATATTTTACATTTTTAACTTTAAAATGCTATAACTTTTTGAAAAATGTATGGATCAATACAATTTTATTATGAGAAATAATATTTATATCCTTTTTTCATTCGACTTACTTTTTTTTAATATTGGACCATTTCCCTTAATATAGGGGGGTTTAAATCTTAAAAATGTGTAGAACTTTTTTAACTTAACTTTTGTAAGTGTTTCAGAAATACTAACACTTTTATATATATCTAAATTAAAGCTAATGTAATATACTTTATTATGAAAAAAAATATATATCATGGTAAAAACAGACATCAAAGTTATTAAATAAAATACGATTTTTGTAAAAAAAATCTTTTTTATATTCTTATCTTTATAATACTATAACTTTTTTAAAAATATATGGATCATTATATTTATTTTTGAGATAATTACTATTATATATTATATATATATTTATAAATTATTAATATATATAAATTTATTTATTCATATATTACACTTCTAAATCATAAAACTTGTAATCAGAATATAAATAATGAAATGAGAGATCCTGTACCTTTTGGAATAACATATTAATTTTTTAAATTAAACACTATCAACAGATTTGCATCGATGCGTTCTTTACGAGAGTGATTTTAATCACTGTCAGATATCACATATCTGTGATATGCTGGACCCAACTATGCCACGACTTCACTGTACTGGGGTTTTTTTTTTTTACTTAATTCCGTGTTGTTGTCCAACTGAGAATTAAAAAAAAAAGTGACTACCAAAAAAATATATGTCCCAAAATCGTATATATATAAATTTTGATGACCGCAACTGGATTTCCTGCTTATCACAACATATCATTTATCTATTTACGAGCGATCCTATATTAATTTCCTCTACTACAATAATTCAATCAACTATAGTATCTTCATCAATTAACATCCACTAACCTTTATCTGACAATGATGACACGTTTTAATAGTAATCCTAACTGTTCTTTTTTCAATATTCTTCAATGGAACGTAAGAAGTTTATCCCCTAGAATGCATGATCTTTCTTTTCTTCTCTCTAACAATAAATATTTTTTCCTCTCCTTTCTGAAAGTTAGCTCCTTACTAACAAACGTGTTTCTTTTCCAAAGTTCAACATTAATCGCTCTGAACGTATCGACGGTTTTGGCGGCGTACCCATCGCCTCCCATCATATTATCCACATAAACCTTATTTCTATAGATCCTGTATTAAAAATCTTGCTTCTTAATCATTCCATATATCTTGTCGGTATCGAGGCGTTTACCAATTTACCTAACCCATTGTCATTTGTTCTATTTACATTCGAGCGAAAATTTTTATTTTTGAGGGTAATGTCTTTGGAGTGGATAGTGGAAGAAGACGCCGTAGAGGCGTTGACCACTATCCTCTCGAAAGAGGGGGTCGCTGCGCCCGCTGGGTCAGTGANATACTTTATTATGAAAAAAAATATATATCATGGTAAAAACAGACATCAAAGTTATTAAATAAAATACGATTTTTGTAAAAAAAATCTTTTTTATATTCTTATCTTTATAATACTATAACTTTTTTAAAAATATATGGATCATTATATTTATTTTTGAGATAATTACTATTATATATTATATATATATTTATAAATTATTAATATATATAAATTTATTTATTCATATATTACACTTCTAAATCATAAAACTTGTAATCAGAATATAAATAATGAAATGAGAGATCCTGTACCTTTTGGAATAACATATTAATTTTTTAAATTAAACACTATCAACAGATTTGCATCGATGCGTTCTTTACGAGAGTGATTTTAATCACTGTCAGATATCACATATCTGTGATATGCTGGACCCAACTATGCCACGACTTCACTGTACTGGGGTTTTTTTTTTTTACTTAATTCCGTGTTGTTGTCCAACTGAGAATTAAAAAAAAAAGTGACTACCAAAAAAATATATGTCCCAAAATCGTATATATATAAATTTTGATGACCGCAACTGGATTTCCTGCTTATCACAACATATCATTTATCTATTTACGAGCGATCCTATATTAATTTCCTCTACTACAATAATTCAATCAACTATAGTATCTTCATCAATTAACATCCACTAACCTTTATCTGACAATGATGACACGTTTTAATAGTAATCCTAACTGTTCTTTTTTCAATATTCTTCAATGGAACGTAAGAAGTTTATCCCCTAGAATGCATGATCTTTCTTTTCTTCTCTCTAACAATAAATATTTTTTCCTCTCCTTTCTGAAAGTTAGCTCCTTACTAACAAACGTGTTTCTTTTCCAAAGTTCAACATTAATCGCTCTGAACGTATCGACGGTTTTGGCGGCGTACCCATCGCCTCCCATCATATTATCCACATAAACCTTATTTCTATAGATCCTGTATTAAAAATCTTGCTTCTTAATCATTCCATATATCTTGTCGGTATCGAGGCGTTTACCAATTTACCTAACCCATTGTCATTTGTTCTATTTACATTCGAGCGAAAATTTTTATTTTTGAGGGTAATGTCTTTGGAGTGGATAGTGGAAGAAGACGCCGTAGAGGCGTTGACCACTATCCTCTCGAAAGAGGGGGTCGCTGCGCCCGCTGGGTCAGTGACAGTTCAACTAGACGGTAGTGGCAAGGGCCGCTTCGCGTGGTGCGAAATGCCCATTAGGGCTGTGCAACCGTTGGTCGGGCTGACACAGCTCGGGGTAGGATTGAGCACATGCCGGTCCCGTGTCCCAAAGGACAAGGGACCGCGCTGCTATAAGTACCTCGAGAAGGGGCACGTGCAGAAGGCCTGTAGCGGTCCTGACCGGACCGGTGCGTGCTTCATGTGTAAAGAAGAGGGCCAAGGACTGTCCTAGAAAGTTGGGAGGAGTCCACCTAGGGGTTCCGTCCTCTTCGTGTTTTTGTGTTTGTGTTATTGTGAATTATATGCCAACCCACAGCGAAGTCTTACCCCCACCTCAACGTGGTGCGACCTGGGCAACGGCTTCCACTCTAGGATCCAGCTAACGGGGAAGGCCACGTCGTGTTGTGACTCAGTTCTTGATTTCGGGCTGAGTCACAATACGGTGGTGTAAGTTTTATAGCGACGTCGGTCGCCTTGAAGCCATACCTCACGGTAGTTCCAGGGCGGCCGACATTATGTCGACCGTGAAAAAAAAAAGGGTAATGTCTTCAACTAGATATGATTTGTGATCTTTTGACGTATAGTTAGGAAAAATCAGTCCTGTGAGAACTGAGAAAAAGTAGTGACCGACACAAAAAAAAAAAAAAATAAACACGTCATGATAAAATGAATACCTTCTCAGTTTCGCATCGAAGCTAAAAATCAAAATTTACTGATTATAAAATTTTAAGTTTTTGGGGTATTTCCTACATTTAATAGGAACGATATCATTTTTTTAATTTTCAAAGGCAAATGTCTTCATTAGATTTATTATTTTATAATGATTTTTTGACGTATCGTTGAAAGATTTGATCCGGTAAGATCTAAAAAAAAGTGGCAGCAGGTATCAAAAAATCACAGAGTAAAGTTAATACTTCCTCAGCTTCATATCTAAGCAAAAAGAAACTATTAAAAAATCTATATCATATATAGAATTAAAGACGAAAAAAAAAAAAAAGATTTTGCGATTTAATTTGCAAATTATAAAAACACAATTGAAAATTATTTCTAGATAAAACATAAAAAAAACAATTTAATATAATATGAATTACAAACATTGAATTTATAATACGCTATATAATAGAAAATAATTTTATGTAATATAATATTTATATTACATTAAAATGAGAATATTTTTTTTTTAATAAAATTATTATTTATTTAATGAACAATGTTTATATAAAAAATTTCGCTACTTATTTGACTGTAATATATAACTGAACATTTTAATATTGACATTTTGATATTATTGAATTCGAATTTTCATAATAATTAATATAATCTAATAAAGTTATTCTAACGTTTTATGACTTAACTTACACTAAAAAAGTAACTTAAGTGATATAACGTATCTGATTTAGGATTAAAAAATCTTAATGCTAAAAAAATATATAATTTATCAGTATCCCCAGATAGCAATTTTAAAAATTCTCTTTTATTATATAAAATAGAACAAGGGAATAATGTTATAATGACATTATTAAAAAAAAATTAATTAGAGATGTTATGAAAATGACATTTTAATGCCTACTACTAAATTTGTCTTAAAATAATAATAATTTTTTTGTATATTGTTAGTTGTTAATATGTAAAATAAAATCATTTTTAGGGCCATCCTTTATATCTTATATGGTTGTCAACTTTATTATTTAATTGACAACAAATCTATTAAAATGAATTATAAAATGTAAATGTATGATCTAATTAAGAATACAACTGATTTGTAATAATTTTAGAGATAGTAAGACAAATACTTTTAAAGTTATATAGAATTTTGACTGCGGGTGAATGATGGATGCTGGTACTTTTCTTATTCTTTATTTTTCCGTTTAATTCTAAACTATGGTTATAATAATAAAATAATAATAATATTAATAAATAATTTTTAAATATTTTTTTAGCATAAAGGGGAACTAGTTGTCATTTTAACGGGACTAAATCTGTAACATTGTTATTTTTAGAAAAAGTAATGAAAATTTGGAACGAGTTCTTTTGATAAAGATTATTTCCGACACTGTACATTAAAATTGATCAGTGTCAGTTACGTGTTGTTGTCAAATTAATAGTCATTTATCATATTAATAAAATATATAATAAGTATGCTCAGATGTAATATTATTATGTACTTAATGATATTTAGATTCAACTAAAAACTTTACTATATTTTATGTGCTTGAATATGTATGGAAAAATAATTCAAATAAATTTTATAAAATTCTGTGTATCTTTTTTAATAAGATCTTCTGTTTCAAATTCCGATTCTTCATTTATTATTGTATCACCTACTAAATCTGAAATAAAATAATTATTTCAATGTTCATTTATATTTTTAAGCTTAATTAATAAATACATTTTTTCGATTATTTATGTAAATTATATACAAATATATATCTATATTATTTTCAACCATTAGAATTATTAACACTAGTTAATAATTATAAATTAATCTGTTATTATGGGATATCAAGTCGTGTTATTGATTTTTATTTATTATTAAATTAAAGGTAACTTACAAAATGTCGTAAAAATGGCGTTTTAAGTTAAATATTTCGCTGATCTTAACCACTAACAAAATTGTACTTTAGTTTGCAGTATAGATTATACATGGGATATTACTCATTTACTTATCCTAACCAAGTAAATATTGATGTATTGTTAAATATATCCTTTAATCCCTTCCTAATTAAAAGCGTAGTCTTAATATTTGTATATAATTCTGTACAGTAATATAGGTCATTATTTTGTAAAACTGAAAATAAAGCATTTTAGTAATGTTTAGTTTAATGGTAATTTCTTGATCTATTATTACAAAATATAATATAGTCTATTATTTGTAAACCTAGAAGTAGAACACTTTTGTAATTTTTGGATTAATTGTAATTTCCCGAATTATTGTTACTAGACCAGGAAGTAAATATTTATAAATAATTTTGAAAATTATTGCATTATGAATTTTATAAAAAAGAAAAACAAAATAGTTTAACATATAAGACGAAATGAAATGAATTAAAAAGAGAGAAGACCTCGGGAGTACCGAAGGTAATCTCTTTCCGCGTAGTACGTTTGTGAGATTAAGCTTTCATTTTGTGTATTATTTATTTATCCTGTTTTAAGTGTATCATTATTTTATATGTTTTACTTTGTTTGATTATATCGTTATTAATTACATTTGCGTTATTAATGAACTATTATAACTATAAGTTTGAACAAAAAGATTGTTTCATTTTTAAATACAACAGTACTATCAAATCTTACACCATTATAGTAACTCAAAAAAAGGAAATTAATTAAAACAATAATTTTATTAATATGATTAAAGAATAATTTATTAAAATTATCCTTATTTGTTGGTCTTGTATGATCATGAGAATAATTGAGTTACTATAATATTTATTGAATAAAAAAATGATATAATATAATTTTTTCTCGGGATATGAGTACAAGGGTTTATAAAAAGATGTAAAATATAAAAAAGCAAAGTGATGTTTGAAAATTTATTAATATAATAATAATTTGAAATAGAAATTATTGTGTTTAATTATCACACATAGATCATCAACAACGCCACTCGTACCAGTAGTTATCTAGGCTTGTGCATACTGTGAATCGAGTCAATAAATACCTCGAATAGTATAGGAACCACAAATGGGTTCTCTATTTTCGCAAGAGAGCCTTTATTAGTGTTAACTACACAGGAACCCACTCAAAGATAAGACTAGGCTGGCTAACTTCGTACAAACGTTATTGATTTTCTTTATTTCTTAAGACGATATTTTATTCTAGAGATCACTTTATTTATTCTGGTTTCCTATTTAATTTATGTACTCATTATATTTAACTTTAAACCTTATAGATCTTTTGTAGAATATGAATTTACCTTAATGATATCAGTACTAATGTTGAAAAAATGAATTTACTTCAATTTTCTATGTAAAATTGTATTTCGTCAAACCACTTCTTGCATTCGTTGAAAGTTCATAAGGTGAAGTAGTAGTGAGAGAGATTGACAATTTTTATGCCCTTTTATATTAAATTTAATTCATCTATATGTACAAGAAGTGTCACGACTTTTTACTATTATCTGTTTATTACTCAAATTGTGTTATTTATTACATATTATTTTACTTAAAATAAATAATTTGTCACAACTAAAGTATTTGTTATAATTATTACAGTAGATTTATATCAAGTTATTTTTAGACATATTTCTTGGAGAAGTTTAAAGTATTAACATAAATAATATATTTTTAATTTGATGACTAATAGAAAATAACATATAGACTACTGAATAATGAGTGGTGTATGTATTTTAACACCATAAACAATTGAAAGTTTTTATTATTAATGTAACTAATTTTTAATTTTTCAACCCTGAATTTTTTAATATCAAACCATTGTAGTTAAAGATTTATTGACAGTTGTAATGTTCAATCACTTCAAAATTCATGTTATTATATTTTCAATTTTCCAACAGTATGGTGTATTTAATGAATATATAACTTTTAAAAATCATAATATCAAACAAAATGTGAATTTATATTTAATATAAACGCTTAAAATATTAAATTCAATACTAAAATTGTGTTGTAATTTAAGTTAGAAAAATAAAAAAAAGTTCGTGGTACTGAATAAGGTTATGGGACATCATTAAACAATTAGTTTTGAAGAAAAAAAATTTAAATAATCAACAAGTAATTTACCTTTTTGAAGAAAATCATAAAAAACTGGTATTGTAGCTGGAGAGGTATTGAATTCATTCTTCGTTTCTAAATATAAGTAATTAAAAAAATATATTAGTTATTAAATAATTTCAGTTTTTTTTTTATTGTTTTAATTTTTTAATAGCTTAATTATTAGATATTATATAATCGCTTTTGTTGAAGGATCCTTCCTAATTCAATTACTTTTTGAAACTCATATGATTATATTTTTTTTAATTTCCAACAGTTTGGTGTGATTAATGGGTAAATACATCCCTTAAAAATGTTAAAATCATACAAAATTTGTATCTCTATTATATAAGACGTTTAACGCTATTAAATTCTAAATTTGTGTTATTTTACTTTAAAAATTTCAAAAGAATGGTGGTAATTAAATGTAGAGTACTCACTTCAGCTGTCCTCATATCGAATTCAATAGCATCCCTCCATCTCTTTTTTGGTCTTCCTCTACCTCTTCTTCCTTCAACATTCATTTCTATAACTGTTCTTACAGCTTCCGATTCTTCTCTCCTCATAACATGACCAAACCATCTAAGTCTATTTTCTCTCATCTTATCCATGATTGACGCTACAGCTATACTCCTTCTTATACTATGTATGCTCGTTCCTTATCCTATCTTCTCTAGTCACTCCACTAATCTATGTAAGAATTCTCATCTCTGCTATACTCATTCTCTGCTCAACTTTCTTATCAACCACACAACACTCTGAACCATACATCATATCGGTCTCACTACATTGTTGTAGAATTTACCTTTTAGTTTCATTGGAATTATTTTATTGCATAAGACGCCAGACGATTCTCTCCACTTCAACCACCCGCACTTAATCCTGTGCCTTGCATCCTCGTCAATACCACCGTTCTTTTGTACAACTGACCTTAAATACTTAAAACTTTCTACCTCTCCAATCTCGTCCTGGCCTGTTATCACTGATCTCTTCATTTCACCTACTTCGTGTTCACCATTGTCAAACTCGTACTCTATTTTAGTTAAGTGAATCTGTAAATGATTATGGCACTGGGCTATATAATTCAATAAATAAACAAATAATTTACCTTTTTGTAGAAAATCATAAAAAATTGGTATTTTATCTAGAGAGGTTTTGGATTCATTCTTCGTTTCTAAATATAAGTAATTAGAAAAATATATTAGTGATTAAATAATTTCAGTTATTTATTTATTGTTACCTAACTAAGAAAGACATATATTTTAATTAAATAATAGAAACACTTTAGTATTTGTAAGTTCATTACTGGAAAGTGTGTTGTCACTATTGAATATTTTTTTCGTCTGATATCACTATTGTTTGTGCATAAAGTTTTGGCCCCGATAGAACCCCGTTATATATAAATACCAAATACGCCATAACTTTCTAACCTAATTTTTCAATAACTATATTTGTGTTATATTATAATTTCAAAGAAATTGAAATTTTTATAACTTGTTAATAATGTTTCGTACGAGGTAGCCAAACTATAGAACGGTTAGTTGTGCACCGCATTACATTGCCGACTTGTTTACGTCTATTTAATCGCTATTATAGGAATGAGTAACAATGATCATCTAAGTAGATGACGATTAACCGCTTATCCAATAAATGACGTAAAACAAAAAAAAACTAAATAAGATACGTATTAAAGTTCAGCAATAAGTAATTTTATATTAAAAGCCGTAGGGATGTATCCTTATACTAGTAGCTTGCAAAGAGGTATACAATAAAATAGTTAAAAATATAAGATAAATAATGTAAAACAAAACAATTAAAGACTTAAATGTATAAAGTAGAGAAGATGAATGTTCAATAATGACGGTAAGAAGTAGACTCAATTCATTATTTACCTTTTAATGCTTAAGACGTAAACGGGTTGATTATTACAAAGGTAGTCGCTTAAGAAGTAAATATTACAATCACGAACAGGGCCGAATAATAAAAGAGAACACACGAACAAAAGTTCGAGAAAGCCAAGGAGCAACAGGATGAATAAAAAAATAATATAAATATGACCAAGCGAAGACTTTGCTAAAAATGATACATAAAAATATTCACTCACTCGTGTATGACGGTGAACTTTACACGGAGAGTAATTGACACGTAGGCCGTTGATTTGCCGTACTATTTAGGCGAAGGGGTCGGTAAAGCAAGACGCAAGATATCAACTGTCTTGCCATATGATGTACTCAACGATGTTTGAATAGTCTACTAAGTCTTTGTTAAAGGTGCTCTCTACGAAACATACTTCCCGTATTGAAAGACGAAGGCTTTCAAAACAACTTGATTGGGAATGAACTTATTTTGAGATGTAGTATTAATACTATCTTGAAATAATAACGCGAACAAAATATAAACAAATAAGTAATATACATATTAAATAATATTATTAATAAACAAAACAAATTATTAACAATATATCGAGTTAGCTGGACACCCAATCACGGGTAGGCAATAAAATAGGCGCAGGCAATAGTTAAAAAGAGCATCAGTACGAGATCTAGAGTGAAAAATATTTATCAGAGAAGACGTTTCATTGTAGGTGAATGGACTAGGAGTCGAGTAACGCGTTCCTTTGCCGTGTACATAAGATACCAAACTACGCAGTTATGTTGAGTTGCCGTTGTAAGTAGTCGAATCTCTAGATTTCTAATGAATTTCTGGATTAATTGATCTTTATGGTAGTAAAGAACATAGAGTGAAGTCATCAAGAGTCCTATGATTCAAATAAGGAATCACATCACCTACAATAGGAATGTCAACACATGTTAGTTGATCGAATTGTGGGTTGGCTAATAACAAATTATTAGTATAATAAATAAGTCTTTGAAACTGAAAATCGAATCCGTTGTAAAATAAGGCACAAAAGTACAAGAGGTACATAGTTTTACTGTTACAAACTCTTGACTAACTGGGTTGTGAGTTAGACTAACTAATTCTGTGTGATGGATGACACTTTAATCCAATATGCACGATACACTCATTAGTATATTTCGAAATGTGAGAGTCACTGACCAATAGTACGCGGACCATATGATAATTATTACACTTCTGGAACACTTATAACGGCTATACTCAGCACCACGGTGCCATTCATATGTGCGGCATCAGCTAACGGGATAATTGATTTTTCAAAGGGAGAATAACCAGAGTCTGATGTAGTATTAGTCGATAAAACATTAGACTTGGCATCCATTTGTAACATTATATAGCGATGCTTGTTATATAAGATAACGTATAGATAAAAACGTTGAACATATGAGAAGGACTTATGCACGAAATCATAATTTGTTTAACTTGAAAATTATGTCCTTTAAAAATCTAATGTCATACAAAATTTGTATCTCTATTTTATAGAGGTACTATATACAGATTGATTTACTTATCACTTCAGTAATAAAAAAAAATAAAAATAACATTGCAAGCGGGCTTTTAGATTAGTAATTCGGCCTGTAACAACAACGTGGTTTGCCACTTGCATAACGACTAGCTAGAGTAGCAAGGGTCGCCACCACCTAGGCGAGGTGTCACACCTATCAGATATGATTACCGGACCATAGGCGGAATTTAATTTAAAGTTAATTAAAAGTATAATCTAAGTTAATATGTCGTTATATGTATAAATTACTATAATGCCTCGTGGTTTATAGAACACAATTATGACAATCAAAGTTGTATGTGGTTGATATGTAAAACATACCGTAGCCCGTGTCTAGATTAAGGAATAGGAATGAAATACACGCGAGTAATTAAGTTACTCGCGCAATAAAATAAATATTACAGTTGAAATTAATAAGGAAATTTAATTTAATTGTTAAAAAAAGAAAATTAAGTTAAGCAACGTGCTTTCCTGCTAGGATCCTAACAGTTGGCTAAGCTGTACCTTAACGGGGCAACGCTGGCCCTATATAATTTATATCCCACTAGAAGGGCGGTTAGCGGTTTCGTGACCAATAAATATAGACTATTAACTAACAACGATAACAAACATTTATTTCTATTTAATAGTATATTTAAATATAACCTGACTGGATCTCTAGAGATGTTGTGGTATCCAAATTAGGTGAGCGACAGCGGCGAACGTACACAAATCCGATTGTAAATAAATAAATAATAATAGTTTATAATAATAATAATAATAATAATAATAATAGTTAATGTTGGTGAAGGACGAATAATGTGTACGTTACAGTTATACATGGACAAAAATGCGAATGCATCAAAAACCATGTCTACAAATAAAGGCAATACAAATAAAATAAAATATTTAAACAAATAATATTACAAACATCACGGACGGTATTGGAACACATCCGTTAATGTTAATCGGAAATTAATGAAGAACACCAGGAGCGGTCTGGACACTCGCTTCTTAGCGTTGGCTAGAAGAAAAGGGAAACACGTGCTCTCCACACATAAACAAAATTAAGTTAATTTACAATAAAATAAAATGAAATAAAATAATTAATAAAATATAGCTCATTACATAAATATAATATAAAAAAGAAAACGATACCCGGTCTCCGAAGAGACCCATCCGATGGTCTGGATGCTTCGTCGAAAAGACCTGGCCGTTCGCCGTTGGCGGCTCACTCCATCATTGAAAAAAAAATGTCAATAAAACAACAAATGTGTGCACCTTAGCACGGTCAATGACAGAAGAAAGAATAGAGAAGAGTCAACACCGATCTAACGGCAATTTCAAAACGATAACGGCCAGTCTTTTTGGAAGGGATCAATACGATAACAATTCGATTTTAATTATATTTCTCTTTTATCGCCTTATCTAGCGGTCAGCGGTAAAATAATGAGTGGTTGACACCGCTGTGTCAGAAAAAGGTTCTTTCGCGCGATAAAATAAATAAGTAGACATAACAAAAAAATCATAAACGGTCCACCTTCGAATTTGTGACGTTACAACATTGATTTTATTTATTTATTTTTTAGTTCAATGTTTTTCACTGAATTTTTCAATCATTAAGCTTTTTCGTATCGTATCGTATCCACAAGATCTGCATGACGAGCACAACGACTTGCCGTTCTTACCTAGTAACGATGTACCACCGGGTTCCAAAGAGACCATGAGTATGGTCACTTTAAAACCCAAACAATGGTACGTCGTACACTATGTCAACTTGAAACAGGCAATCGCACACGGACTGCAAGTCGATATAGTATGTATAATAACATTTATAAACTATAAACGATGGTATTTATATACATATTTGTTCTGCAAATGCACCATGTTTTAGAATTTCAACAAAGTGCTTGGTTGAAACCATACATTGAGTTGAACACTGAAATGCGGAAACAGGCGGCAAATGCTATTAAAATTGCGTTTTTCAAACTATTGAATAATGCCGTCTTTGGTAAGTGCAAGCTCAATGCAAAAGCAATAGGTTATTCCATAAATTTTTACATTTTATAGGAAAAACCATGGAAGGCAGCGAACTCATCAAATCTAAGGGGATCCGCGGACACGTCGTCTGGAAACATCTATCTTTGGACGATTACAAACGGTGTATGTTCTTAAACGATGGAGATAAATGTTTTATTACAATAAATATCAAAAATAAATTTATGGGTGCTTTATATAATATCGATTGAATCTATCCACTTACTTGTGAACTATCCAAACTAACAAACTTGACAAAACATTTGTCTTTATTGTTCTTAAAGTTTCTTTTCCACTAAATAAACTTCAGGAAATTGAGTCTTGCTAAGTTTGTGCTCATAGAATCAACCATTTATATGTCTATTGTTTCATCTGTCAGCTCGTACACGACGGGATTTCTATTACGAATTTTATGCGATTGTAAAGATTTCCGATGACCAATTTTAAGTATATCCTTTTGAAAATACTGCTTTATGCTTATTCAGACAAACTTTATCTCCAGTATTAAACTTTTTATTATATTTTAAATTAGTTAGCCGTTTAAAATTGACATTTTCAGGATTACGTGATGCTATACTAGGAGTCGTTCCTATGGCGCTATGTTTTGTATTATTGTAATTTTTTATTAAATCCGCTATAATGTTTATCCCAGTGTATGATCTTTTAGTAGTACTTTCTTTCCACATTTTTTCTTTTAGTGTTCTATTAAATCGTTCCACAACAGCCGCTTTCATTGTAGAGTAGGTTGAATAATAATTTATATTTTTGTTCTTCATGAGCATCCGAAAATATTTGTTGAAGAATTCTAAATCTCGGTCTGTTTGTAAGTTCTTTGGAGATCTATTGGACAAGACTTTTTCAAAAACCGACTTGATTTCTGTACTAGATTTATTTTTTAAAGGCATAGCCTACGCATATTTTGTATAAACATCGATTATCGTTAAAAAATTGTAAAATTTTTATTTTTTGTAGAGTATTTTTTCATATATACTAAATCTGCTTGCCACAAGTCATCATTGCCGTACAATACAACTCTTCTTCTAGGAAATATTTTTCTAGCTGGCTTATGTAATTCATTTGTTATTTTCTCTGCTACTTTACTCATGTTATTACACCTAGTTCTCGTAATTCTTCTTCTATTGATACCCTATGTGCATACGTGGACTTTAACATCTATGCGAATACAATTATTGATGAAAATACGACATAACAATAAGAGATCTATGTGATGTCTAAATAAAAATTTTGAAATCGCCCAAACGTAACCACAATTACTAATTTACGATCTATGTTTGTGACTTCGCATAGTTTTCATTATCTTGCTTAGGTCCCAAACGCGAAGTCTAATTATATTATAAAAATAGATATTAAATAAATTCCCACACGAAGTCACTATAAAGTTGCAGAGAGGTCACGATTGAGATCTAAATATTGTCCTTATCAAAGATGACCGACGACATGTGTAAGTATGACTGACGCCAGACTTCCGTTACTTTTTGCTGTATTCGCTTTATAACGCGTCTTAAACAAGTACTCTTTCAACCATCACTTTTTCTCGGCGCGCTTATGTGTAAACATCCTTTTTGAAAATTATGGAGAGCTCAAATTTTAAACAGGTAAATAGTAAAATTTACTCTTAATTCTTTTTAAACCTTAGTCAACTATTCATCCTAGTAAAGATCACCTTCAAATTTACAAGTACAGCATTTATACATAAAGTCTATTAGCATACAGAGCGTATATGGAATGTAGGGGAACTTGCGTAAATTTAAAATTTCCGAACAAATTTTGGTCAAATTGCCCTAATTAAATGTAAATAATCCAGGACCTAATGCCCTTCAAGTACTTTGTGTGCTTTAATACAAGGTGTGAAATATAAATTCAAATGTGTGATGACTAATGAGTCATTACATTCTTGGTTGGATTAAAGTTAGAATATTTGATGAACTTTACCTAAAACTATGTAACACAAACAATGATAAACTGAAATAGTACTTCTAATTTGATAAATCGAGAAAAATATAAACAGAATTTAGAAAAAAAATCAGTTATATTTTATGAGTAACTGTTAGTTAGTGTTAAATGAATATCTTATATGATTTATTGTTAAGCATTTACCTTCTATTTTTTCGTTAAATAATGATTTTTTCATAAAAATGTACAGACTATAATTTGATTAATTTTTATAAACCGTAGTATTTATCAAGTAAATTGTAACAAATAATTATTTCTAAGGGTAGATTTTAGGGATAACTTTCGGAAGTTTAATGGGAACCTATCATTTTTTGTTATTATTAAATAGAAAATGGTCTAAATAAAATTAAGACTAGTCGATAACCAGTTTTATATTATTAAATTTGAGATATTAGTATTTAAAGATTTAGTAAAGGTGAGGAGTGGGATAGTATTTAGTGACTCCTAGTTTTATTATGACGCATAGTTAACAAATTTTCAATGTTGAGTTGCCCACTCATCTATAACTCAAAAAGTAATAATACAATACAGATTATCCACTGGTCAACTTCTCATTTAGACCATTTCCCAATAAAAAATAATTGGTCCCCATTTAACTTTCGCAATTTACCCCTAACATATACCCTTAAAAATAATTTTATTTTATAATAAACACAATATTTAGTATGATTTATAAAAATAAATCAAATTTTAATCTGTAATTTTGTGAAAAAATTCAACGAAAAAATGGGAGCAAGTATACTTAATAAATCAAACTGTTTATAATGTAAACAAACATAATACTTAATGTATTATTTATTACATAAATAAATGTAATATGATTACTTTTATATCTACATTTATGAAAAAATGTTATATTAAAGATTTAACTTTTCAATAAATATATTATCTGATTAAATAATCTTTAATTAGCTAGGTTAAATGTATTTCTTAGTTCTATATTTTATACTGTATGTTTTATTTTATTAAGTGGGTTATTGTATTTTTTGCGCCGGAAAATAAATATTCCATTGTACCAGTTAAATGGATTATTTACTGTGGAAAAATATGTTTTTGTAAGTGGCCAAAAAAAGGAAATATCAATAACATGATTAAAGATTTTATTGAGCCAGAGAATGATTGGCCCACATACCCCATCACGGTAGTATCTCAATATTTCGGTAAGTTTTATATTATCTTTTAAAAATTTAAGTTAATTTATATTTATGTTTTCTTCAAGATGATTATCCTGAAGCTTCTATGAAAGAAAAAGAAATATTTACATCTTCAGACACTACACCAAACAAGAAAAAAAGGACCAAACAGAGTATAGAAATTAGTGATTGCCCTAATGGTAAGTTTACAACCTAACTTTGTAGGATAGTTTTATTTCTTATACTTGAACAATATACTAAGATTTTCTTAAGTGGTTTTGAATGCATACAAAAACATTAATACTTTACTAGTATTAATATTACTAAAATGTTATCAAGGTAATATGTTAGTGTTTTTTTTTTGACATGTTAGAGTGATATGAACTTGAGCCGCGAATTAGTTTTTTTGAGCTAAAGATGGTGAACCACGAGAATACTTGATGAACCAATTACCATTGTTTGAACTGTTTCTTCTATCACGTTCGGCTTTTAACGAACGTAGGAATTTCATTTGGTACAAAGTAAGATCTGTAGTAATCCATGCGTTTCTCCATGATGGATCAGATGATAGCGACTTTTTTGATTTTAAAACATCTAAGACAGACTTAGTACTATCAAATGTTATTCTTATCGGTCTTGGTTTAGCAGATTGTTTGCCGATACGGGTGACCGCGGATATATTAGCATCCAAATTTAACTTTATAATAAGCTCCTTAGCAAGCGAATCAATATTACTAACCGATTCCTCTATGTTAAATAACATTATATTACGAGATTTGCTGTCTCTTTCATGGATTTCACGAATAATGTCAACCCCAGAAAAATCATTAGGAGCATAATCAGATGTAATAAAATTTTTAGACTTTTTAAGGGAATCGATGTCTTTTTTTAAATCTTCATTCTCTTTCTTCAGAGAAACTATCTCTGAAGAAAGGTCATCCAATCTAGACAAGATTGATGTAGAGGTGTTTTCTTGCGTCAGTAATTTAGTATTAATAGATTGAATATCTTTCCGCATACCAATTAAGGCATTCCAGACATCTGTAAGGGAGATATCTTTTTTGCCTACGAGCGGAGTTGGTTTAGTCGGTGACTTTTGCATAGTTGTTAGATTCTATAAATTCGTTGGAAACAAAATAAACCTCGGCAGTGGTATGTACACTTGAATGGTCAAGGTCCCAATTGATATAAATTTAAAAATTTATTGCCGGTGTCGTGAACGTTATCTAGACGACTAACATATAAGTGCTAGACTTGATGGAAAAATAATAAAACTAAACTGTGACGACGGACAACAATACAAATTTATACACCGAAATTTATACTTATCGGCGAACTAATAACGTAGCTTAATCGAATGATACACGAGATTAGCACGATCGTATCGAACAAAGTATCATAATGCGGTAATGAGTGTAGATAACGGAGAGGCACAACCGAACGGACGGCACACACGTCGTTAAGGTACGAATGTCCGTACTGTACTGAAAGTAGATTTTTAGATCCTGAAAGTGTTCCATTTAAAATCTGTAAACTTTCAATTACCAATATAATATCAAGTTAGTATAAACATCATTTTTAAATAAGTTCTCGGTTAATACTATTTTTGAAACTATTTATTTTAGATGCTATAGATACATCAATAAGATGTGATGAGGTAGATAATGCACTACAAGATCTTAATACAGAGAATGTAAGCACCTATCAAAATGGTATGTATTCATTACTAAATTAAATACTTGTAATAGTTAAAATTATATTGAAGTCTACTTATTTAGTTTTTTTTTTAATATAATTATTAGGTTGTAAGTCATTTACTTTTTTAGTGAAAATATTTAGTTAATTTTATCTTTCACTTATTTATACAAGACTAAATAAACAATTTATAGTCTCATTAATTAAGTAAAATGTTATATACATTTTTAGTCTAATAGTAATTTAGTTTTTTTTTTCGTATGTTAGTTAATAGTCCACAAAACTAATTAAACTCAATAATAAATATTATTTAATGACATTGTCATTGCTTTGAGATTTTTAACTTCATCTTAATATATTTTATATTTNTTAGTCTAATAGTAATTTAGATTTTTTTTCATATGTTAGTTAATAGTCCACAAAACTAATTAAACTCAATAATAAATATTATTTAATGAAATTGTCATTGCTTTGAGATTTTTAACTTCATCTTAATATATTTTATATTTTTTAGTAACTGAAAACTTCTATAATGTAGACCAATATTCACCATGTGCTCCAGTCATTTCAAACAATTTATCTCAAAAAACTTATGAAATNATCATTTCAAACAATTTATCCCAAAAAACTTATGAAATGATAAAAAAAAATTTTGAAATGCATATAACAACACTAGAATATATTAAAAGAATGGATGCTAAATTAGAACTTCTTGAAAAAAAAATCATTGGTAGTCCTGTTCACAACGCATACGACTCAAATTTATTATCATTACTTCCATTCAAAAATAAGGAAAGTGTGGATGCTGCTGACGAAAAACTTAAAACAGATTCTAACTTTGAACGTCAAATGGTAATTTTATTTTTATTTTAATATTAGTTTCCATAATCNATAATTTTACTTTTATTTTAATATTACTTTCCATAATCTTTCAAATGGTTAATGATAATAATAATTATTATTATTATGAGTCACATTAATTGCAAAATCTGCAGATTAAATAATATTCTTTATTGATTTTACTTGTAGAGCAACTATATGTATCGAGTTGGGGGAACCAGTATTAAAAACTATGTCCAAAGAGTGTTTGCCAAAATTTTTTCTTTAGACATTGCAAGGAACTATTCAATGAAAGGTTGCCGAGGTAGTCGCAGACTGGATAGCCTAAAAATAATTGTTATTATAAAAGTAAATATATCTGTAAGATAATTACGATATATTATAGGGTTGATTAAAACATTATTTTACAACAATCATAAAATTCATAGAAATATTATTAGTTACATTAACATAAAATATTAAAGTAAAGGAATAACTTAATGTATTATTTTATATAATACCATTGTAAATATATTATATAATTATAATATATTATAAATTATGGTTCAAAAATAGCCTGAAAGTGTCATTTTACTATTTATACCCTTTACATAAAAACATTTTTAAGCCAAAGTGTTTTAGTCCGCCCTCATACATAATAAGGTTTAGTATTATTAATTGATCTTATCAATTAATAATACTCAAAATCCTGGAAACCTCAACACTGCTTCAAATAGCATTTCGAAGTTGGGATCTATATGAAAATTTCAGCCTACCAAATAGTAAAAGATAAGTCTGGACTTTGAAAACTTCATCGTAGACTGAGAGCCCGAGATTTTCTATTATAGCTTTTCAAGTGGATAGAAAAAACAAAATAAATAAATGATAGTAGTAGATTTGAACATTGTTTGTTATCATCTCTAAAATATACTTAATTCGGAATCGTACCCCTATGACAACTTGCGAATGGACTTTCCGAATGATAAGTATGCTGTACCATATTTCACGTACACCCAATTCCAAGATGCGTTCTACGAATGAAAAAGAGATGGCATGTCCAATGCTGACAAAAACAGAATTCAAGACAACTGCACCACTCATTTTCATTGACTGTTCAAGGCAAAACGAAAAATTAAAAAATGCACCAATAGATATTAGATTAGAATTTGAATCTAATGAAAATTTTCCAACCAACACTACAGCCCATTGCTTAATTGTACACGACAAAATGTTTGAATATAATAGTAGGGTAAAATAGAGAGTCCTAGAACCCCCCGCCTCACCCCTTCACCCACCCACCCACCCGGTGGGTGGGCGTGGTCGGGGGAGGGGCGTGTCACACAGTGGGCGTGGTCTCTCAATGGTGGGGGTAATGTCAAGGTCACACAGTGGGCGTGGTTTCTCGGTGGTGGGGGTAAGGGGAAGCGTGGTGTTATGAGGGTGGGGTTATGGGTGGCGTGGTCTTATCATTGATTGGGTAAGGGGAGGTGTGTTCTTATTAATGGTGGTGGGAAGGGGTGGAGTGGTCTCACGATGGTGTGGGTAATGACCGTAGTCAAGGTCAATCAATAAACGTGGTTTCTCGATGGTGAGGGTAATGGAAGATTGGATTTATGAGGGTGGGGGTAAGGAGTAGGCGTAGTCTTATCATAGAGGAGGCGTGGTCTTATCATAGATAGGGTAAAGGGAGCCGTGGTCTCACGATAGTGGGGGTAATAGGTAACTTAGGTGGGGGTGTTAAGGTCAATTAAAATGGGGATTAAAGTGCGCATGCGCACTATAACTTCATGTCAGTGGTGGGGTAGGTAGCCATTCGGAAATGGTTGTCTCCTCCTACGATGTCATCTACTGGAGGGTAAGGTAAACCTCATGTGAACTGATAACGGTAACTGATAAAAGTACGTGTAAACATACACATTACATTGAAATAGTGTACGTCAAATAGTGGCCGCCGTTGCCACTTTAACATATTTACTTAATATTAACGCTACAAAGTCTTCATCAACAATTCCTATACAGGAAAGGGGTAACGAAACATAACATAAACCAACCTATAATGGGTGGGGATGAATCCAAGTTAAACTAAAACGTTTTCTAAGAATTTTTATCATTGCCTACCAGACGCATAGGTAAGCATATTTCCAACATCAAAGGCACCGCCATATTATAACTCACATTACCGTCTACATTTTATAAGAACAAAGACAACCTCTCTCGTTTTGGCATAATAAATTCTAAGAAATTTATCATGGGTAACCAGACGCTTAGCTAAGCATATTTTAAACATCAAAGATTTCGCCGTACAGTAATAATCACTGTTGTATGCATTTATTTTTTACATAGTATTTTATTGTTGGTAACCAGACGCTTACGTCAGCATATTTCAAACGTCAAATGTATTACTATATTATAACTCACATTACCGTCTACATTTTATGAGAACAATGGCAACGTCTGTCGTTTTGGCATAATAAATTCTAAGAAATTTATCATGGGTAACCAGACGCTTAGCTAAGCATATTTCCAACATCAAAGGTACCGCCATATTATAACGTTCATAGACGTATGCATTTTTAATTTTTTACATAGTATTTTATCATTGCCTACCATCAGATGCTTAGAAAAACATCTCGTTAATATTAGTATATTACTATTAATTATATAATTAATATAATTACTATAATTGGTAATATATTTTTAGAATTACTATGTTTAGGTTGCTATAATAGTATAATCGCTATTATTATTATTTTCTACTGCGCCTTTAAAATAATAATATGTGTATCGCATTTTATTTTATTATATTTAATTTGACAATTTTTTTATACCTATAACTAGAGGTATTACATTTAAAGTAGCACCCCCACTACCAGCACCCCCGAGTCATCACTTAGTTTATCATTTAATGTATACATTACATTGAAATAGTGTACTTCAAGTAGCGACCGCCGCCACCACACTTGACTATTCCTTGAACGATTTGTAACAAACTCTATTAAGACAATTGGGTGTGAGGTGCGCACAATGTGTGAAACCCAATGAAAACTAACCTAAGTCGGGGGAGGGGGATTTCCTCAACATGTCGTAATGAGCGAAGGGGTAATAAAACTTAACTTAAACTAATCTAATGGGAGGGGTGCGTATGAAACCCGACGTAAACAAACTTGCCGCACGTCTATAGATTGTATATAATAAATAATTTCTAAAAAAATTTTACGTACAGTAATAATCACTGTTGTATGCATGCATTTTTTACATAGTATTTTATCATGGGTAACCAGACGCTTAGGTCAGCATATTCCAGACATCAAATGTATTACTATATTATAACGCTTATAGGCGCTAGCATTTTATGAGAACAAAGACGACATCTGTCGTTATGACGTTATAATTTCTAAGAATGTTATCATCGGTTACCAGACGCTTAGCTAAGCATATTTCAAACATCAAAGAGGTCACCCTACAGTAATGGTTATTGTCGTATGAATCTTATCATCGGATGCCAGACGCTTAGGTCAGCATATTTCCAAAGATGTTACAATATATTAATGGTCACTGTCGTATGCATTTTATGAGAAAAATGGCAACGTTGTCTTTTTTCACGCCTACGCGTTTTATGAGAACAATGGCAACGTTTGTCGTTATGGAATTTTATTACCGTCTACCAGACGCTTAGGTAAGCATATTTCCGTCATTGTTTGTGTTGTACCTGTTTAAACCAACCAAAACTTGTCTAAACAAGATCTTTGACCCCTATAAAAGAACGTCACATCAAGTTCAGGATCATTCACTCATTATCTTTTCCAAAGCGATTATACCAAAAACCATTTGCTTGTTTATTTCTATTTGTTGTCCTAAAGAATTTCTAAGACTTTTGATATAAAATAAAGTAAGTAATACATTTATATATATTTTTCATTTAAACTATTTTCTACTGACTTTGGTTACTAGTTATGTTTAGAGTTGTTAAATATTTATTAATTTTTTATTTTAGAATGGAGCAATTAAAGAAACAGTTGAACGATCAGAGTGCATTAAAAAGATATTCAAAATTAAGTGATTTGGAGGAACACACGCCATACAAAATCATATCTATGAAAAATACAAGCACACGAAATGGGGTTGTCGTTGTTGGTTGTCTATTCAACAATATGAATGTGTTTATCCCGAGATTGAAATTAACTAATGAAGAAATCGAAGCTTACAATATCAACAATGATGACAACAAATTACATTTATTATATAGAGGCAAAAGTGGAAATGCATATTTGTTTGATTTTCAGTAATTTGTTAATATTTTTCCTTGTTTTTTAAACTTATTTATATAAAAAAATTAAAAAAACTTAGTATCATAAACTTGTAAGATTTAAAATTCAATAATATATACTATTTTTTTTATTTTATACAATTTTGTCATATTTATTTAAACTTTATGCCTTTGTGTATAATAAAAGTCTATAGTACTAAGCAGTGCAAAGAAGAGTTTTACACATTAAATAGCAAATTTACTATACGCTATGGTATTTTTAGCAGGTTGTACTATGTATGGCATGTAGTAGGCTGTTTATAAAAGTAGTAGGGACACTGTGTCGGTTTACCGAACAGCATGTCCTGGAATCGTATAATCTCGATACAACAAGTCTGAACATGTTAAAACCTGTCTGAACGCGTTCAAATCCCTGTTCATCCTGTTTGAACCCCGTCTGCTTGTGTTTACAACTGTTTGTATCATATCTAACGACGAAAATTAGACTATTAATTACTATTGGGTTTAAATTAGTTAATAACTTCACCGTGGTGTAAGCATAGCGCTCTAATCGTTATAAGATTTTCTATATAAACAGACGTTACTTTAACTTGTTGGTAATGTGTTAAGTCGATATTTGTATACTTTAAGAATGGCTGGTTCTCTCGCTACAATTGCCAAATTCTATAACAAACAAACATTTGCTAAACCCCAACCTCACAGTGAATTAATCGATTGCACTGATTACGTTTTGAATTTCAATCCTCGTAAATTCGTTCAGATAGGATTGGATCCAAAAGATCGATTTAACGTAACTATTCGTTTACTATCGTCAACCCGTTACATACTTATAACGATAGATTTCCTACAACGGATTTATACGTTGATGGGTAATATTCTGTCGCTAATTTTCGACCCTGTATCAAGACAAAAGATTATTTTACTCAAGGATGAATACGTCACACTCTCAAAGACTACGTTTCAAGGAGAGTCTTCGCTAGTCTTTGAATCACAAGCACAAGATGAATGCCGAGTGTTACTCACCCAATCAGACATTTTAAAACTCAGCGCTTTGGAATGTTGTATCTTTGAGACTATCAATCAAAAGATGACTGTAATTCAACCATTGGTTCTACAACAGTTGGAACAGATGGCTCAATATATGAAATCTCAGTATGAAGTAAATGTGGAAAACAAATGTATGTTGATCAATGCGGTTTCGGATTATACGATTAGAAATAGTTTACCCAATAGCGATCTGAGCTACATAAGCCAAATAAAACAATTTGCGAGCCAGCAGTTGGAACAACGGTGGACGATGCTGGAAGAATATACTAAAGAAATGGTGAATTATTTTTTTTTTTTTCTAACTGAGTAGAACATTTTTTAATAAATATATTTCATTTTTTCAGTCTTCTAACGGAGAAAACGTATGCTCGACATTTTTTGGGTCGCTGGCCGATGATATACAGTCGGAACCAATCATACCATCAAATACAAATAACCAAGAAATACCAACAGTAGTTGTTAGTAATAGCTATCTGTCGACAAGTATCTAAAACATGTATAAAATAAAAAAAAAAAAAAAATTGTTTAAAATAAACGTATGTTGCATTGACATGTGCTATTATTATTATATACTGAGACATTGTGAAAATCGCGTTTTCAACGTAACTTGTAATTAAAATTATAATGGATACAAATATGTTTAAAGAATAATGTTTAAAATAATGATTATTAGCTAGGATTTTATTTCTATCATATGAAAAAAACTATGTTTCTATAAAACTCAAATCATTTTTCTTCTTCAGAAAGGTTAAAACATGGTCAAAAACCTAGCTGTATGATACATGTAAAATACAGTAGGGTATTCTTAGAGTTTTGGTGAATAATACTTTACCATTAAAATGTGACATCTCATTACGTAACTATAGTTTAAATACTATGGCATCTTACACGTACAACTATTGTACCGTACAGAAGAGAAAAAAAAAAAAAAAAAACGTTGTAGTATATATATATATTATATATATATTTACAAATATGTACACGCATATACATATATTTTTTAGAAAAAATACAATTTCTTACTACATTATGTTACATTAAAAAAATGTTTTAAAACTACTTATATACATGTATATTTACAAAAAAAATTTTCAATTCTTGACGATATTTTTTTTTACAATGATAAAAACTATAGGTCTTTCGGTGGCGGTATAGCATAATGCCCGTGGGCCAACGTGTCGATTCTGTTGTTGAGCGTGTAGCGCTTATCATCAAAACGGTTAAGCGCCAACTTGGTTGTACGTAAAGTCCGTACCTCGTGCTCAAACGAACGGATTNTCGTACCTCGTGCTCAAACGAACGGATTGACACGTTCTGTCGGTACGGAATGTAGGGTAACGATAATGTCGGTGGACACTCACCACCATGTATCACTCCGATGACCGCACGGACATTCTCTCCAGCCAATGCTCGTTTTGACGCATCGTCGACATCATCACCATCGTCTTCAAACAAACACCGTTTGTAATCGTCCAAAGACAGATGGTACCGAACGACGTGTCCGCGGATCCCCTTAGACTTTATGAGTTCGCTGCCTTCCATGTCAAATGCGTAGCACTTTGATCGAAG